GAAAGACATAATGCAACACATTTTTTTGAAGACTAAGCATACATTTACTGTGCCAGGTCCTATCTACTGCATCCTTCAGCATGTTCCAAGGAAAGCATGCAAAGTATTTTAACTCTGCTGTACGCCACATAACTCAGCTACTTAACTGCTTGGAGTGACTGGAACTACTATAGAGGGAGCAAAATTATACATTTTAAATTATTTTGATAAACCATTGGGGCAGCATCACTGATGTCATTTCTTGTGTCTGGTTTCAAGCTCAGATTGCTTCAAGGTGGCTTATCATCAGGGTTTTAGTGTTTCTTCTTGTAGGGAATATTCTCGGCAAACTTGCTTATATACTGATGAGAGAGGACTTTAGCCCTGTTGGAGTGGCTTGCTACTCCTTCCCAGAACAGAATTTGGAAAAATTCACTTGTGTAAGATTGGAGTTGTTTCTTAGTTAAAACGTCTTGTCTCATTTCTTGTTTTCAAGAAGAAACAGTTGAAAAATAAAGACTGTGAGAAACAGCAAGTCGGTATTCTGTAGACTTAAAAGAAAGGATTAGTTACAGGTTGTAGCATTTTCACAAACTTTCTGTGACTTCCCAAACATGGAATGGTGTTTCCTTTAAAATTTTTTTACATGAGTGACGCTGTGTTCACAGTAATGGGCTCACTCTTTCTTCTCCCTTTTTATCCCATGGTATTGATTCATTTTGAGTTTATAAAATACACCTTAGAAATGCAGAGATAAGGGAACATTAAATTGTTCCAAAGCAGGGATGATGTAAGAGAAAATAATTACTGTTTATAATCTTGAGAAGTGAAGAGGGAATATGATCTGTTGTTGTATTCTGCTTCGCTGTTTCCTTAGAGATGATGTACTTGTGCTATCCATCTGTTCAATTCTCCTGCATTTCCTGGTTTATTTATAGACTATTCTAAAACTGGTAGGACTGATGGAATGGCTATGCTTATCCCTTGAGCTGTGAGTTTCCAAGCATGATGTGGTTTTTCTTGTTAAAGTGTATTGAGAATAAAATACAGTCCAGTTATTTACAGTAAAAGCTATTTTATTTGGTGGTGTTTTAGAGCATCACTCTATAATCCACCTTTAAGAAAGACTCCTTTTAGAGAGGGGAATTAAAGGGAGAAAGCAATTTTATTTCACAGATAGGTAGGTAATTTTACTACATAAAACATATTCATACAGAGAAAAAGTGAGTGTAAGTATTCATTTAGTATATAAGAAGAAAATGAAGTCCAGAGTTTGGACAACTACTGTAGACAATTTATAGAGAGCAATGAAGCCCCTATTGAAAAAATCCCTCAGCAACACCTTTCTTTTACTAAACCTTTGATTAGTATTTTTTTGTTTCTTGTAAAGAAACTTGCAATGTTTTGACAGTGAACATACTGTGAGGCATATTGACCAGCCTTTGACAGCACACATTCTCAGAGTTTTATAGTGTATTTGCTGAGAGTAGCCACTGGTAAATCATCATTTCACTTAACATAACTGCCCTTGGGATGTATCTGTTTTTGCAATTTCCGTACTACATCATGGGATACCTGTAAAAGTTCAAGTATCCTTGGCAAATTTCTAGAAGTCTTTTTTTCATCTCAGATAGGACTTTGAAGCATACCTCCTCATGTTAGCATTTCATGTCATTTTGCTTTCCTGTTCCTTCCTTGTCGATGCAAAGAGTTTTAAATCCCTGGGACTGCGGGATGTGAAGGGTGATAGCCAATGGCTTGACATATAGGTGGCAACAGGTAAAAACTGGGTGTATCAGGGATTGATACTGGGGTCCATATTGTTCAATAAGTTCACCAACAATGTGGGCACAAATGATGGCAAAGATGCACATTCTGCAAATCTGCTGATGACTGTAAATTAAGAGTGGCTGGCACACTGAGTGACGGAACTTCAGTCCAGATAGGTCTTGAAAACCTCGAGAGTTGAACCAACAGAAACTTAATTGAGTCTCTGCATCTGGGACAGGATAACCCCATGCACCCGTACAGGCTGGACGTCAGCTGATAAGTAGCTGCCCTTCTGGGAAGAACCTGGGTATTGAGAAGGAACATCAAGTTGAACATAAGTCAACAGTTAGATCTCATCATATTAAAGCAAAACACACATTTTTGCAGAAATGTGACTGGCAGACTAAAGGAAGTTGTCATGCTCTTCTACTTGGTGCTACTGAGCTAAATCTGGAACACCACATCCAGGTTTGGGTCCTTCGGTTCCACGAAATGCTGAGAAACTGGAAAGGTTTAATTGAAAGCTATGCAGAGCGGAGGGCCCTGGAGCACATGACCTGTCAGAAGAGGCTGAGAGAGATTACTTAGTTTTACTTAATCTGAAGAAGGGGAGGCTAAAGGGTAGTTAGACAGCAGCCTGCAACTGCTGAAAGACACTGACAAAAATGATAGAGGCAAACTTTTCTTAATAGTGCTGGGTAGAATAAAGAAGGTCAAGAACCACAACTTGTGGCTTGGAAGGCTGAAGTCAGGCATTACAAATCTTTTTGACTAGTGCAACACTGGAGCAGGTTACCCAGAGGAGAAATAAAATCTCTGTCTTTGGATGTTTTCAAGACTTAGCTAGAGAAAGCTACAGCTGGCTTCATCTAGTGTTGGCAATAGTCTTTTAAGATGAAGGTTGGGACAGAGACCTCCAAATGGAGGGTTTTGAGAAGGAAATCTCAAACAACAGTTCTGTGAGCCTGCACATTTCCATGTGTAAAGTTTCAAGAAAATGTTCTATTTAGTGAAGCTCTGTCTATTTGATTACCCACCTGAAGTGAAATTGTTTCAGTATTACCTAGGTGTGCCCAACTAGTAGTTTCTGACTGGCAAACAAAGACACAAATGGTTGCAGAATTTAAGCCGTATTACATTAAAAGTTAACATTTTAAATTATTTGAAGAAGTTTTCTCTTAATATGTGAAATATTTAAACTCAGATGCCTTTCTAAAACATATAGTGAAATTAAACAAGAAATTCTAGGACTGCCATTTCTAGGATGTATTATGTGAGAAGTGTCCTGGGCTATGCAGAAGTTCAGATTAGAAGATCCTCGTGGAGCCTTCTGTCTTCAAAAGTAGGACTGAATTAATTCAGAGGCAAAACAGATCTCTGTTATGATTATGCTAGATGAGGACTGAAGTTATGGCGTGTATTGTGACAATTAGTTTTAAAGGATACAAGATCAGTCTAGACTTACTTAATGTCTTGATGGAATAGATTGACTGAAAAATTTCACTTATCTGAAATGACAGCTCCACAAAATGTAGTCAAGATGCCAGCAGCATGCATGGGAGAAGAACTGAAAAATGCTTAAGCAGAACATTTTCTATCCTGGTGACTAAAAGTCAAAATACCGTCAAAATGGTTGACTGGGTAGAGAAGAAAAGAAAGAAGGAGTATACAGGTATGCTCCTGGACAGTTGGTGGTTCAGTTCACAACTAAATTGAACGTGTTGTCTGTCAACAAGATCTCATAATTGATGGAATGGACTGTCATAGAAGAGTGACGTAAAAGGCAGAGAATAGAGGAAGAAACTGTATTTGAAGTACTGATTTTTTTTTTATTTTAGTCTGATTTGAGAAACTGCTAAGACCAAATGCTATGTATAGCCTGTCTCCAAATACTCTTATCAACAGCCCTTTTGTTTTCCATTAAATCTGATTAAAGAATCAGCTGTAAAGTGGTCGGGGAATCAGAGCAAAATCTCTGTGTGTGTGTATGTGTTTTCTTCCTTTGTTTTTGTCTTTAATGTGAGCATACCTGCGCTTTACCTTCTTTGTGCGTGGTTTCTTGGGCTGTATGGACTCACTGCAGAAGTAAAGCCTCGGTGCCACCAGCCGCTCCTGGTACCACTTTGCATCCTTAGTTACAGTTCTGTTCTTACCAGGTGTAATGATTTATTCATGGAGTTATTGTTTGGAAGATAGTTACATTCCTTTCCTTGAGATTTAAGACAATCTACTGTTATTGTTTGAGAGACTTGGGTAAGCAGTCTGCTTCTGAGGAGGATAATCGTTCTCTTTAATCTAAGTATTGCTTCCTGCCTGCGATACGTGAAGGATTTAATCTCTTCCAGAGAGCAGATCCCCACCTTGTGAAAAATCAGCCCTGCTCTGCTGAAGTAAACAGAACTCAAACACATGCGCAAAGCTAACTCTGAACTTCTGCACTGCTTCAACCACGATTCAATTACGGCATAGTAGATACGTGGAGGGGAGGGTGTGCGTAGTGTTTATGGTTTCATACCTTGACTTTTTAGAGGTAGAATCTTTTGGTTTAGGCTGGACTCTGTGTGAAATAAGTTGAATCCAATAGTGAACATTTTAAGCTATTTTTGTTGAATGAACTCTAAGTCAGTCCAAATACCTGTCTTCTGTAGGTGTTCAGAAGTATAAAAAAATCAAATGTAGGTTAACAGTGTAAAAAAATGAAACACACATTTACCACAATTATTACACTATATTGAATGTGTAGGAAGGGGCACTTCAGAGCTCCTCTCTGTCTGGTAAATTGTCAGTGTGATGGAATTTATTCATTTCATTACCGCTAATTCTCCCATTTTAAAACCACGTGGGTTCAGATCTGCTCAGTGCAGAACACATTGGCCTTGGCCCAGGAGAGCTTTTTACTTGTCTGATCTGATCTGTAAATGTGCAGGGAGACTACTCATGTGCTTCGGTTTAAATGTGCACCTCGGTCAGGGCAAGAGCGCTCAACACCTCCCCTAATTCAGCCCTCCTCACTGTTGTAGGCGAGAGGTGTGCAAGCAGATCTGTAAAATAAGAATTCATGCGCTCCTCTGGGAAATTAAACTCATGAGACCGATAACCAATCTGTGCTTTACATTTCTGCATCTTAATTTGTTTAATTTGGGAGGGTTACTTCAAGGTTATGGCAGGGGCGCTTTGCTGCTATAATTTCTGTTGTGGAATGCGGTTCTTGCTGGAATAAGGTACATCATGTACTTTTACTCTTTTGTCAGAGAGCAGAAAGACAAACACGGATGATGGACTCGGTCCAGTACGCAGAATTTTGTGAAAGTCGTCAGTTGAGTTTTTGTAAGTATTATAATGGCTGTACTGTATTAAGATGTTCAATTATTATTTTATGTAAGAGAGAACACAGCAGAACCTCACGTTTTTTGAAAGCATTTTTGTTTTACGTGCAATAATAAAACTTTAAATTCTTTGTCTGCATAACTCCTGGGAACAGTTAATTTAGCATAGTTTCAGGCTGTCGGGCAGCATATTTTATTTGAATATTTACCAAGCTTTCTATAGCTCAAATGCTGTGCTGGTTGGGATGATTGCAAAGATAGAACTGGTGAAGAGTTAACAGATGAACACCCATACTTGCCTGAAGCCTGCCGTGGTGGTGTTATAGTCAGCATATTAGTAAAGTTTCATGGTTGCAGGTTTTTCAGAAGGCATCTAAAATTAGAGAAGAGCAGCAAGCTTTGCTTTTATTTCCCTGTCCGCAGAGACACAAAGAACTTACTAAAGAGTCTTTTCTATTTTAAGCTGTAAGCTCCTGCTGTGGAATTTATTCAGCATTGGCCAAATTCATCAGTATACGCCATTCCAACACTAATAACATGATGACAGAATTAGGGCTTTACTAGCACTGAAAACCAACTTACTAGAAGTACTTGTGGGCCACAGCTATAATGAGCTGTAAATTAATGGGCTTGATCATGTAGCAAAACATCGTTACAGAAGCGGTTAAGTGATGACTAAGGTTTCAGGTCAAATGTCAGAGAAAGTGAGGTGAAGGAGCCAGTAAAAATCATGACAAAGCAGCATATGATCCTACAACACAGACTCGAACACAATGGTGTCTTTAAGTGAGAGACCTTATCTTCTTTTTCCTTTTAAATACGAAGAAAGAGTGACTCATTTATGGCAAATAAATGACACATTTGAAATACTGTTCTGTATCAGCGAATGTCAGCAAATGTAGGAAAACATGTTTTGTAAGCATTTCTTTTCCTGATTCAATATGTTTTGTAAGCTTAGTTGTAATTTGGCATCACACATCTGTGAGCCATTAGATAAATGATACTTCAGATTAGGGTGACTTCAGCAAATGAGAGGTTTGTGATAAAGTCATCTTTAAAACACGAAAATTATCATCTGAAGACAGAGCAAATACAAATCTTAAATTTTCAAAATAAAATTGAATGTTGCTGACCAGGTGGTTGTGATCTATAAAAGTATCTTAATGGTATTTTCAGTGTTTTTAAATGACCATGTTATTTTTCAGTGACATGTAATGTCCTTAAGGAAGAAGAGAATTACAGTACTTAGAAAATAGTAGCAAGAGGGACCCATGCACAAATTCAGTTGCATAATATGAACTCAATTAGATGGCACATACTAAGGCTACTTTTTGCTTATTTTCTTATATTTCAGTAAAAATTGAGTGTATTGTGATTCTATGATTCTGTGAATCTATTGCTATGTTTATAGTAGTAAACCCTTTTTACTGTAATAGAAACCCATGAAAATTGTGTCAATGCTGTTCTAACAATATATATTCGTAATTACAGCTCCACAGGTTCCTGTGCAGTTTTAAAGGCAGGCAAAAGAAAAGGCCTGTCAAAGGATTGAGTACTACAGGATTTAAATTCTAGGGAACATTTTGTGGTCCTGCTGCCACCTTCACACTTTTTCTCTTGCCTTTTTTTTTTTTTTTTCTCTTCAGCAATCCTGTGTAGCTTTTTCACTCCCTCCTAAAAAGTAACCATTGTTTACACCTGTTTTCTGTTTAATACTCAATTTCCCTTTAGCTATTTAGTCTTCGTTGATGACTCTTTTTCAAAGAACTGTTTCAAATTATTCTCTCACCTTGTATTTTCTTCGTTTTGGTTGTCCTGTCATCACAAACAGCCCTCACTAAGACCTCTGTATAACTAGATCCTTTCTGTCCAAGTCTCCACAGCTTTCTGTGATCAGCTTGTCCACCACTGACCTAAGTAGGATGGTCCATTTTTTGGTTCTCCTGTGAATTTCCATGATGCTTTTTCAGCTCCACTTTGATATCTCTTGTTCCTATTTTTACTCTCTCAGCAAATATCATCTGTTTATTTATCCCGTATTTTTCTCTGTACTTCCTCCCAAGTGATCTCATGCATTAGCAGTGTGAAGTTCTCACCTGAGTGTTGACCATTTGCAGATCTACATCTATCCTTACTCCTTTATGTCCAAAACACATTTTAGAAAGATTCATCTACACATTATTTTGGCTGGCTTGGCAGCACCTGATCCCTGCATGGTTAACACAAGGACTTCCTAGGTCTTTTGTCTTTGCTATTGTTAATACAATTATATCATTTTAACTAGACTCAGATTTGTGTTGATTTCTTCTAGTGCTTGGTCTCATTCACCAAAGATGTGATGCAATCATGTTGTTTCTTTTACAATAGTATATTCAAAATCAGGTTTGTCCCATCTGCAGTCCTCTGAGGTAGACCCTTCCTTGTTCTGAAATCTCATGTATGGTTGATCAACTCTGTGTTTTTCTCTTTACTCTGTGCTGCTTATGGGTCTCCAAAATGTTGTGTATGAAATAACAGTCTTTTCCCCACTAATTCCATTTTGAGAATTCCTTCCTTGGCCAATCAAATGACATTCACACTCCTTGTTTCACATTTGCAGTATTTTCTATGACCGGAAAAAATGCATTATTTTGGCCTACCTGTTGTTGACTTTTTCTTTTCCCCTTATGATTTTAACTGACAGCAAAGAAAGCGTCCAAGTTTCGTGACTGGCTGGATTGCAGCAGCATGGAAATAAAGCCAAATGCAGTTGCGATGGAGATTTTGGCATATTTAGCATATGAGACTGTGGCACAGGTAAGGGAGTATACTGACTGAACCCTGGTTGAACAAAATTGATTAATTACTCCGGGATGTCGTTCAGCCTCAGGTGACTGTCGTGAGCCTCTTCAGAAGTGTGCAGTCACTACGGCCGCTAACCAAGTTGACTGGGTTCCTGTGTGGCTTTCAGTTTGTTGTGTGATGGATGTGTGCTGTACCGTATTCACCCATCTGATAAATAAACAGAGATGTTTTATAGTGGTGGCAGAGACGAGTGGAGTCCAGCACGAACTTTACTCAAGTCCAAACTGAAACCACATATTTCGCTATGTGACCTTTGGCAGCACGCGGAGGCTCATTCAACCCCATTGCACAATTGGATTAAAAAGCAGGATTTCCTGGAAAACAGAACATTACCTTAGTGCCAAGCGGAGCCCTCTTGGGTAGATAGATTACTCCATGTATTTACAGAAGTGGAAAAGAAAGGTTCCTTAGGCTGAAATATCACTGAATAATTTTCTTTTCAATTGAGAAATACTAAGAATAATCTGCCTCAGCTCATAACTCTTCTCTTGCTTCGCTGTTACAATGACATTCGCAGTAAGTACCGTGTCACTGCTTATTGGCTGTTTTTGCCCCTCCAGCTGGTGGACTTGGCCCTTTTGGTTAAGCAGGACATGGCTCCCAAAGCTGGTGACCCATTCAGTCATGCCATATCTGCCACCTTCATACAGTATCACAACTCTGCTGAGGTAAATCTTGCTTTTTCACATATTAATGCATTTTGTGTTTTACAGGTATTTAGTAGTTTGTTGCTTTCAAAGTAGAAGTCATTGAATCTCATATTGATATAGACGTCTGTTATGGAGTTTATTAACATTTATGTTATGGATTTAGATGGAAAGACATTAAATTATAGCTCTAAATGTTAAATTCTTAACAGTATCTTTAAACGGAAATCCTCTTCTCTTGGGTGGAAATTCCTTCTCTCTGTATTCATAGAATCACAGAATGGTTTGGGTTGAAAGGGACTTTACAGATCATCTCATTCCAACCCCCTGCCATGAGCAGGGACCCCTTCCACCAGACCAGGTTGCTCCAAGCCCTGTCCAACCTGGCCTTGAACACTGCCAGGGAGGGGGCAGCCACAGCTTCTCTGGGCAACCTGGGCCAGGGCCTCACCACCCTCGTGGTGAAGAATTTCTTCCTTATATCTAATCTAAATCTCCTCTCTTTCAGCTCAAAGCCATTACCCCTTGTCCTGTCACCACCTGCCGTTTTCGCCTTTTCCCCCTGGCCCGGCCCCCCCCTGCCGTTTTCAAAAGTCTCTCTCCAGCCCTCTCGCAGGCCCCTTCATGTACTGAAAGGCTACAGTAAGGTCTCCCTGCAGCCTTCTCTTGCCCAGACTGAACAGCCCCAGCTCTCCCTGCCTTTCCTCCCAGCAGAGGGGTTCCAGCCCTCGGATCATTTTTGTGGCCTCCTCTGGCCCCGCTCCAGCAGGTCCAGGTCTGTCCTGTGCTGAGGGCTCCAGAGCTGGACGCAGGAGTCCCCGGGGGGTCTCTCGGCTTGCTGTATTGCTGATTTGGAGATTACAGTTGTCAACAGTGGCAAGTGCAGTAAGTGCTATATTGCATGCATTGCTGTGATATAGCTATAGTAGCCTCTAGAAAGAGCAAATTTAACTCTGTATTCCTTCTCTTCTAACAGTAAATCTAAGAAGGCAATAAAATTTTCGTGTGATTTGATTATACAATGGCTGTTTGACATCTTGCTTTTATAGCCACATCTCCTAGGGCAGTCTGCAAGTGTGAAGACCAGCCTGGACTCTCCGGAAAACACCCCGCCTCCTACACCCACACCCCCAGCCTCCGTAGGGCAGCAGCATCTCGGGAAAACCGCATCAGGAGCCCTGGGGAACGGTGGAGCTGGACAGGACTCTACCAAATCCAAACAAAGGAAAAGAAAAAAGGTATTCGGTGCACAGTCCTGGAGGAAAAAAAAAAAAAAAAAAAGAAAAAGAAAAAGAAACCAAAACATCTTCAGCAAATAATATGTCTCATTTTAAATATTAATTTTAACCTATGTCACGCGTGAACTATCAATGTTACTGTAGGCCCACGTGTGTGGTTTGGTATTCTTTCTGTCAGAACTAGGCTAAAGCTTTTCAGTAATCCCTGCAAACTTTGTTGAGTTTGCTAAGACGAGCTGCTCCTCTAGAGCCACAACATCACAAATAATCATCCCCTGCTTTGACGGCAGCAGCTAGCGTGGGGTTTGAGGGTCAAAGCACAAGCAAAGTAGGCAAGGGAGGTGGCTACGATTTTCCTGCTCCCAGCAGCCTTCAGCAACTCCCTTCTTTGCCTATGACAACTTTGCCTGACCTGCTTTATTTTTATGCCAGTTGGTTGCATTCAGTTTTAATATTCGCTTACTTTGCATAGATATGGATGTCTAGTGTGACATGTAAATATTACAATACCTGTCTCCTGTTGCAGATCCTTGATATTCTTGTCTGAGAGGGAGATATGTACCTTAAAACCACAAGGGAAATAGATTTGATTGAATAAATTGGGTAGGAAGCACTGTGTTAGTAACCTAGGGGGGTTTTGGAAAAATGTGGTGGCAGTACTTGTTTGGCTGCAAAGCAGTGGAGTGGCTTGTGATTTTCTCATGTGTGTTGTTATTCTCCGAAAACAAATACTCATTTTTCACAAAGTTTAACCGGTGATTTTTACGATGACAGATAGAAAAACATGTATTTTTTCCTTCTGGTGTCATCATTGCTGCAGATACTCCTAATAAGTTCAGCGTTCTCTCTGCCTTTCTTATACTCCATTTAGAAAGCCTTTAGTGAATCCTGAAAACCTCTCTGAAGACTTTTGCTTTTTCCTCTTCCTTTTTATATTACATTTGATTATGTTTTGTTTCTGTGGCTGATTTCCACATAGTTCCTAGGAACAAGAATTTAGCTGGAGATGTAGGGTTTTTGATACACTGTATTTCGCTAGTGTTGTGAATTTATTTTAAAATTCTTAGTATTTGATTTAATGCCTTTTAAAATAATTATATTCTAAAAAGTGCACAGTTTTAATGAAATGTTCCCATGACATCCAGTTTGGTTGGGTATATACTGGGTATAACTGTGGCATTGAGAGAAATGAGTTACCTTGGGGAAGAAAGTTATTCTCAGTCCATCAAGGCCCAGTCCAGCAGAAAATATCTGGGTTTCATGTTCTCTTTATGAACGTCAATCAGCAAGGCAAGAGTCTGCCATCGTATTATGAATAATTCTGTGTGTACACACACAGGCTCCAGTGGACTCAGCACTCCTGAAAATAAAACATTTTGTAAAATACATCCCAAGTTTGAAAACATTACTATGTAGTGTAAATGTAGGAGGGGACTGTATATGGGTGTACATTAAACTTCAGTGTATAACTTTAAGTTTTCTCATTCTTAGTGGGTTCACTAATATCGTTTCAATGAATTTATTACCGAGCAGCCATTGTTCTGATAAGTTGTCTGAATTCTGGCAAGCAGCCATGTCTAGACGGAGCCTAAACCAACGTTTCAGTTTGACTAGCAAGGAAAAAAGAGTAACTTTTTCTTTTAAAATCCCAGGGATATGTCTATAAAATCAATCAATGAACCAGTAGCAGTGAATTCTTATTTTTCCTATTTCCGGTCTTTAATCCAAAAAGTCATCTGAAATTTGAAAACATTCCAGTTTGAGGTAATTAAAATATTTTTGTGTCCCTCTAATGCCATTATGTCACGTGTTTCCTCTTCAAATTTCAATCTGATATTACTCAATGGTGATTTTTGTGTCAAATTGCTTTCCACTTTGCGTACTTGTTCAATATTTTCCCCACCCCTTGACATCATAATGAGAGCCTGAAACGTTTTAAAAATAGTTTCTGTGGTTATTGCAGTATGACTTATATGACCTTTTCGTTTTAGTTTGGACATTTTCTGTTCCTTTCAATTGCAACATACAGCAGCACTAGGTGAAAGATTTAAGAGGACAAATACGGTGTTCTTTGGGTCTCTTAAGCAAAGTTCATGTAAAAGTCTGCTTTGATTTGTTAATAGCTTTTTTTCTCCAGTCTAGTGTGTGGCAGCAATGATGTGTATCCTCAGGAAAAAAAAATTGGTCCATTTTATAAAGGTTTATTTCCATACTTTATGCACTGTAGGTCTGTTGTGTGTTTTTGATTTAGTAACAATTTATGTGTTTTTCTGTTGCAGAGCACTGCAGCCTGTGGTATAGAGGCTCAAAGCGATGCCATCCAGCCCAGCCACATCAGAGAGGCCATTCGACGCTACGGCCACAAGATTGGCCCACTTTCCCCATTCACAGTACGTAATAACAGAGTTATAAAAAGTTATATTTATAATCTTAAAGAACTTTGATTTTCAAGTGGTCAAATGAAGAAGCTTTGGAATTGTTGGGAGCAATTTGTGGTGACTGTAATTTTCTTTGTAGAAGTGGCATAATTCTCTTGGGAAATAAAACTTAGTAATTTCTGTCTCTTTTTGGAAAGACAAAAAAGTTTTTTTTTTCTTTTAAATATTATTTTCTTTCAATTACAAATTATGCTTTTTCGTTAGTGCTTGAATTTTCTGTTTTTGCAAAGTTTAGGTTTACAGTTATTTTAAATTATATGTATTCCAATATGGTGAGGAGCACTTTATATTCTAAAATTAGCTGTGTGTCAGATACTGCTCCTATTGGAAGCTGAACTCTCAAGTGACACATTTACAGTTGGAGAAAGAAGAGAATGGTTTCTTTAGACAACTTTGAACCTCCACTAAAATGTAATAGAACTGAGCTTGTGGTAAAACACTGATGGGTTCTGAGGTTTTGGCATCATTTTTTTCTATGCAAATTGCAAATCCGTTGTTCAGAGCAGCCAAACGAATTCTTTATTTAATTTTCTCAGCTGATAAAATTGTGAAAGTAGTCTGTCTCCAGTGTCATAAAATGGGGTCATTTCCTTCTGATCTGCTGTTCTATGTGGTCTATATCCTTGCTTGCCTCAGAATATCTACATTTAGGAAAGAATGAATGTCAAAGAAATCATTATAGGAAAAAAAGCGCCAAAACCCGTCAAACTAGATATGAGCTCCTAAAAATGTGGAAGAAATTGTCCATTTTTGGAGGGATTTTAGGACAGGAAAATGATTATGAATTTGAAGGAAATTACATAAAAATTGTACAGAAATATATGAAGACCATAAATGTGAAGGAAGTGGTGGGACTTCACCTGAGAAGCGAGAAAAGAAAAAAGAAGAGTAAATGAGTACGTGACATTACACTTTTGCTAGTGTCAAAAGTGATCAATGCTTTTATAAATGGCAGTAAATGTTTGGTTTATTAATGATAGTTGATACATATTTGCAATTATTTATCTGTGCATAATTTTACCTCTCTCTTTGGCCACTCACAAATGCTAGATTAATAACATGTAAAGTGTAGGATAGAATTTCTAGTCAAAAATAAAGAAATGCCTTTAGCAGAAGTTTGCTAAGAGATATAGCTAAGAACATGGCAATATCTTCTGAAAACAGAGAATGTATATAATTTTGTTATAAAGAAGTAAAGAGCTCACATAAGCAATTACAGAGGTAAGTCTTCCTTCCGTGACCCTCGCTAAAAGTGGTTTGGTTGATTATTAACCAAAGTTTGAAATTTCCCTGCAACCAGAAGATGTAATAAATACTCTGGTTTGGACAGGGGTTTTTTTATGTCCTGCAATCTTGTGAACTTCCCACTCAGTGCAACTAATTGAACAATTTAATTTGTTGACATTACCCACTGTCAACATGGTTGGTGAGATGAGCAGTTCTTGTTCCTTCTGAGCAAGCCAAGAACAAGAGAAGGGAGTCTGGCGTCATCTTCTGGATGCATACAGATGTCACAGAGCTGTGATACAATTCCTTTTTAATGAGGAAGGTCAGGAACAGCTTTTGAGAGCATGCATTTAGGTCTGCCAATCTGTCCACTTTCCTGTCAGTGCCCTCGTTGGCAGTTTTGGGGGTGAACGTTGCTATCACAGTTGTCCAAAATGAAAGGACCCCAAACTTCTTGTAAGTTCCTTGCAGGTGCAGGAAGCATGAAGGTAGATTGATGCTTCCTTTGACCCTGCCTTTCCATGTTCCCAGACTCTCACACTGATGCATTAAAAATATTATCACTAGGCATTTTGAACAGTACTGTGGCAGCACTTCTTTTGAATGACTTCTGCTTTCTCCTGTTGGTGCTGCCTTCACAATAGTTTCTTTGTGTATCTGCATGACAGGATGACAGAACCAGAAGGAAAGGTGGCTTTACTCGATGTGCTTCTTGTGATTCTGTGGTGATGCTTTTAAAACTTCAGAGAGAGAAATACTGAATGAGTATCTGTTGTTAGATTCAGTGAAATCATGCTTTCAGCTGTTTCCACCCTTAAAACTAACCTAAAGGTCGCGTGGAGGAGTTAGAAATACACATTTCCACATCATCTCTTCCATTTCTCTTAAGCCTGCTGGTCATTCTTCCACACCACATCTGATTTTGTAGTGAATAGGTGCCCTGACGGAGTCTGCTGTAGGTGAGGAGAAAGGATTTTTCTTCATATTCAGCTGTTTTACACTGTTTTCTGATGGCAGTTTACCATTCGTGTTAGCAGTCCTACTTGCAGAAGCAAGGAAAAGAGTGAAGAAACAAACATTTTTGTGAGCTATATGCGTGTTCAGTTCAGGCCCTAAAATGTACAGATTAGACTGAACTTTAAGTAAAAGACATATTTCTACATTCTACATTCTTACAGTAGTAACAAGAAAAAACTGTAAGTCTGCTAATGCCACAATGCCATGTTAGTCCGGTGTGTGTGATACTTGCACAGGAAGAATGTAGAATCAGTCCGAGAAACCTAAATGTGTATTTATCTGTCCCGAATAACATGACAAGTGTTAGGCACATGCAGGGAATCTCATGCCCAGAATAACAGGCAAAAGAAGTTATCCAAAATGTTCAACAACAGTTTTTTGGAGACAAGAGCATGTTGCTGCTCTTGAGTGCTGACCATGGAGAAAAGATTGGGGAAAGAAAAAGGAATCACTTTAAATGCTTTCCTGTCCCCCGGAGTAATACTAAATGAACTTCAGCACGGTACAGTTATTGGTATTTAATAAATTATTTTAATTTTGTAGGCCTATGCTATTCTAAAGTTTTCTTGGATATGTGACTACTGAACAGTAAGTAGGATTTACAGAAGAATTTTACCCTAGCTGTAAATTAGTAAGAAACAATGGACAGCTCTGGACTATTTTTTCATTTTAAACAATTTCCATCTCATTCCAGCCAGTCACACAAGGCAGAGGGTGAACATTTTCTTTTTTGTTTGGGACATTCTTTTTAACTTAGCTAGACTTGGTTTTTGGCTTTTTGCCATGCTGCCTAGTGTGAGACATACTGTAGACTCCCCAGAATTCACTGTGCATCATTTTTGATGTTTATGATTTAACAACATTAGTTTTTGAGAGACTTCATCATCTGTACGAATGGATTGAGTTTAAATCAGCAGTACCTCTGGAGAAGTTAATAAAAATCTGGTCTTGCAAAGGATCTGATAATATTTCCCCATTTAAAATTGAGAGATACTATAAAATCAATATTCTCAGTACAAAAAATCCCATACAGGTGATTGCATTTTAGACCAAAACCAGACAAGAATATTCTAATTGCCCTTGATATTAAAATACAGATTTTGTCAATTCCCTTCCTTCTTTTTTTTTTCCATGTTTTATAGTTTTTAATCTTTTTTTTTTCCCTCACCTGCTTATCATTTCTCACCTCTGGTAAGCCAGGACTTCTCACTTCTTAGACTAAAGCCGATTTCTGCACTGTCTGGAAACTGATCCTCAGTAGTGGCAAGACCCATACGTAATTGCAGAGACAGAGGAAGGTATAGATATGTGACTAGACTGCCAGCTGGGAAACCATCCTTGTTTTCTCCAGGTTCAACATCACACTCCAAAAGTGTAAAAACCCCCTACCTTCCTTCTGCTTCATGGGGTTACAGGAAGGGATCTGCCTTACTTTAAGACTTGATTAACACATTTTTCGGTGATGACTCATTCATACTTGACCCAGGTACTTGCCTGGGCACACTTAAAGCTAACTCTCCAGAAAGGCCTCTGTGTTTGACTCACTCGCTATGGAGACTGCGATGTAGGAGGCCCTGATTCTGCTCAGCTGAAGAAAATTTGTTTATTTCCTTGGCACAGTTCACAAGAGGACATGAACTGATAGGAGAGTCTTATTCTGGTCTTGTGTTTGTCCTGCCAGTACACAACCTTTACTGTGGTGTGGGTTGTTCGCCTTTTCCTCAGACTGCTTTTCCATTCCTCAGGGTGGCTGAGAGCAGAACAACCAGGTCCGTGAGATCAGAGGACCATGACAACCTTACACATGTAGGTGTTGGCTCTGATCTTGTGTTAGCAGCAAAATGCTGTTTTCATCAAGAAACTTCGATGTATGGGGGGCCGACTGGGATGGATGCATTCAGTAGGAGGCTCACCCATAAGCAGGCTGAGTTCTGCCCTGAGCACTATCAGTCACGGTCTCATATTGAAGCTTGATGTTGGAGGAGACAGAATGAGTGGGTCTCCTCCATATCAGGAATTTCCAAAGTCAACATTTCTATTTTAGATGTAAACAAGAAAGCAGTAGTTCATATGCAGGATCTCTCTCAGATACGTTTCTCCAGTGAAACGGTCTGATGGAGATCTTGCCTTGCATTCCAGGTCCTCACGTGGGATTCAGGCTGAAAGGTTATCTCAGTTTTCCAGTGTGCCATCTCACAGCTTGGGCATCGGGTTGTTCTCAGTGTTAGAGTTCTCATCGTGTAGCTCCATTTCTTACACACTACTGCTCCAGAGGATTAAACAAAGTGAGTTTAGTGCTCTCTACTCATTTCACTAACCTCATTCTTCATGGCTGTATTTTAAAAAGGTGAAAGACTTCCCATGAGTAATTTTGGGGTGCAACTGGTGGCTGTCTCTCCACATCACCCGTGCTTGAATTTTTTTTTTACTGTAGGAATACAGAGGACTATTACATTTCTTTGTTTAAGTTCAAAAACTCATTCCCTAGTATTTTTGGTTCAAATACTAACTTTCAGAATACAGCAGGCTCTTGAAAACTGCCAGGCTGTTGATTATTACATTGATCCATAAAAGTATCCCTTCTAGTGGCTAAAAAGCGGTCGGGGAAGGGATTAGATCCTTCTGGTGTATTTTTTTTTCCCTCAGGTGCTATGGAGAACAGCTCAAACTTCTGTCTAAAGTTATCTCAAGATTTTGCATTACCTAGA